ACTCCATAAAACTCGGTCCTTTGAAGTGAAAGTAACAGAAGACGTGCGAGAACACATCGGAAATCTGGGAACTTGACTCTAAATACATAATCACGGAGGTAATTCTTAACAGTGTCTCATTTAACAAGTGAAGAAGCTTAGCTAGCCAGTCAATTCGCTGTCAAGATAGCTTAAAACTCGTGAGTGATAAAACTTCGTAAAATGTAGATATAGTTCGCTTATGTTAAGTTACACAACTATAGTTTCATCATAACATTCCGAGCCATAATAGAGGTCATAAATAGCCACAAAAACTGAAGAACGTATAAAAATTATATATAATTGATATAATGATACATTTGAAGCATCATTTATGTGCAGCAGAATTCCAAAGTGAACAAGTGTTACAAAATAAGAAGGTAGGTTATGGCAAGGATTTGTAAATATATATCTAGCCACCACCTACCAAAATTACAAACTCATTTCATACTAACTATGTTAAAAGACAAAAAGTCTGTGAATAATCAAACTACGATTGAAAGCTGCTTACCAAATACAGAATTACAGTTTCTCGAAAGTGATAACCCCATGAGCAAAAATCTAATTAAATTTTAAACTTAACTAATTTTCCAGGTACTTGGATATGAGCCATGCTCTAAGTATGAGGACTAATACCTCGTTGCCCAAACAAAATTAAGTCAGTCAGTCAGTTACAATGTAGAACTTCGTACGAAAGAACCTTAATTCAAGCTGCAATACCATATTAGCACAGAGACGCAATTGTCGATTCAAATCCCGTAGTAGTAGAGGTAGTAGAAGTATTAGCAATAATCAGAGAGATTAGGGTTCAAAGATATGATTCAAGAAGTACAATCCAGTGAAATAAACTTAACAAGAGAAAGATATACGTGATGTAGAATCCAGAGGAATAGGATTTGAGAGAACACAAAGAATGAATGCACCTGCGACAGTGTAAACGGTTTTGAGCCATGTCATTCAGGGTCTCTATCTATCGATTACAATCATCTCGCGGACCCAAACCACGTATCGACACCTACCAACATGACTCAGTCCATTTGTCAGTGACTTTATGTATTTTGTTTGGCCACCCCTACCTTTCATCCAACCTATTGCTACATCGTAAAGCGTAGCTCGACAAGGCAGTCGGAGGTAAGACATGCGCAGTACATGTCCTAACGACCGCAAGTGACGAAGTTTCATTACTTCATCAATTGATTTGCCATCCCTACCTAGTACTCGTTTCCTAACAACTGCATTGCTTACTCGGTTGTCCCACGATATACGAGCAATGCTTCGGAGACACCTATGATCGAAAACCAGTAACTTACGAATATCTTCTACTCTGGCTGGCCATGTTTCACAGCCATAAAGTAGGATGGAGCGAACTACTGCGCAGTACACTCGACCTTTGGTTAGCAAACGATATATCTCACCTGCGCCATAAATAACAAAGGCTGGCAAAAGCCAATCGAACCTTCTGTATCCGTGCTGAGTTTTTGTCAGTCACCAGGGCCATCAGCACTGATGAGACTGCTGAGATAAGTGAAGCGGTCAACCGCTTCTCTTCCTATCACTACTTCAGGTGCCGATGAAACCCAGTCTTGAAGCAACAGTTTGCATTTCGACGGGGAGATTCGCATCTCGAACACAATAGCATCGTCGCTTAAATTGGTCATAAGACTACATTTTGTTAGCGTCTCCACCAAGTCATCGGCAAATTCGAACCCAAGCGAATCTCCTGGTAAAATTTCAACTCTTGGAAATTCAGTCGAAGATAGTGTTACCTCTAAAAGCATGTTTTTGTCAAACTAAACAGTAATGGAGAAAGTGGACATTCCTGACAGAGACCACTTGAAGTAAAGTATTCCGAAGACAAGTACCGATAAGCTGAGTCAATCGATGGTGTTTGAATAGAGAGCCAATACAAGGTTAATGTACTTCTCTGGTACACCTTTTAATGACAGACACTGCCACAGAACCTCGCGATCCAGAGTCGAATGCCGCTTTAAGATCGAGAAATACTACTATTATGAGGTGTCCGAACGTATGCCTTTGTAGTGTAAAAATGTGGTCTATACATCCATGTCCAGGTCGGAAACCAACCTGGTTTTCTCTAGCCTGCTCTGCTCGAGCTCCAGTTAGGCGTCTAAGTATTACCAAAACTAAAATTTTAAGAACTATATCAGTTAGACTGATTCCTCTGTGATTGTCACAAGAGGAATTTTGTCCTTTCTTATTAATTGGCACAATCAGGGATTGAGACCAGTCAGATGGGATTACACCCAGTTCCCAAATTCTACCTTAGATCTCAGTCAATCTAGCGTCTGAAACTGGACCACGATCCTCAAAAATCTCAGGGGTTAATCTATCAGGACCCACTGCTCTCCCCCGCTTCACATTTCCTATAGCTTTTTTAACTTTATAAAGATTCGAAGAGCTTACGTCGACTCGGCATTCAGGTTGACTGAAGACCATAGGTAACCGAAGCGTAGCTGAAGGCCTATAGAACTAATCCCTAAATTGCTCTGCCCATCGACCGAATCTCCAGAATAATAAGCCCATTCTTTTCGGAGATAGTCTAAGTTACTGTCGAATTCTTAATACCGGTTTCCCTGAGAAGTTTGAATAGTTGCCTTTCCCATTTCTCTGGCTTTCGCTACCCACCGTCGTTCGCTATCATTGCGCAGGCTTTTTAACAGCCTGCGCCTAAGCTGACTCCGCTCCTCACAGCCAGACCAGATGAGTTGTCAAGCATTCATTAGTGCAGTGGATGCTACTGAAATCCACCGCCTCTCCGGAACCTTATGGTTTACCTTGCTTGCATATATCGTTCCAATCTCTCTCGAGAAGCGCATCACTTACTACCTGGCTGCCTAACTTTTTTTCTAGTTGTTCCTGGAATATATTCTTAGCTATGCTATCATTAAGTCGAACCCTAAGAGGTTACGCGCAAACCAACAAGCTACTGCTCCATCATTAAATTGCTTGCTTATTGATAGCTGAACGGATAAAGCTTTCCATAAGTTTAATATCATCTCAATGTTTTCTTTCAAATTTTATTTCTTTATTTTGGTGATTCATGAATAATGATTATCACTATTGTCTTGACTTCATTACAATGTGATCATCTAAATTCATTAGGATTTAAACTGGTACAAGCTTTTCACAATAGATAACGCAACGAAAAAGCTAACAATGAATCATCACCTGGCAAAATATTGAAAAAAAAGCCAATGGCATATCATATAGTATAACAATGAATTATTTTATTCTGTAAAGAAACAATTTATTATATCATTTTATTGATTTTACAATTGTAGTACGCGAAAGAAATTGAAAAATTTCGGAAAGAGTTAAACATCACACACTATTGCCCCCTATTCATTCATTCAATCATCATTCATTCATTGTCAAAACTATCAATAACACACCAATTTTAATTGGTCTCTTAATTTTATCTTTCCTAACACTGATAATAATAATAACACACACACACACATGTTTAAATAGCCTTGAGAAATTGTATGAGAGAAAAAACGAGAAACAAAACGCAAAGATTAGAGGAAACAGGCAAGAGATGTGCACTTTTTATGCCTGCTGACAGACAGGTAATTTTCATGCAAACAAACAAGAAGGAAAGTTCTCACAGACAAATTGTTTTTCAATTCATTTCGCCATATCCATAAATAAACAGAACAGAACAGAAACAGAAACAAGCAGTGTTCAAAGAAAACAGGCAAATAAATTTAATGATGAATTATTCCTTTGACTAATCAATAATCAATCACCATTAACAAAATATGCCCCCCCCCGGGAGAATAGAAGGAAAAATAATGATAAAAAAGATAAAAAAGAAAGAGAAACAAACCTTTATAAACAAAAAGTTTTATTCAAACTACTAGTTTGTTTATTTTGATTGGCTAAACAGTCCGTTCAATCTCATCATCATATATATTTATATTTATATATATAAGAAATATTGTGCAGTACACACACACACACAGATGTATTTTTATTTTGTAAAAAAAAACAACAGAAAATTACTTAAGGCACTTTTTTTCTTCAATAGATGATTACATAGAATACAGTCAGTGAGTACAAAACTTATGCATCTTCTCTGTTATACACAATTCATGATAAATGTATCATTTTTTACTGTGTGCATATATAGTAAGTATTTTGATAACTTGGTTGGGTGAATTAGAAAAACCATTTTTTTCTTTATTTATTATTATCAAACAATTCTGTAATGTGTGTTTGTGTGTGTGCGTGTGTGTGACAGCACAGTGAATAAAAAAAACATTATTTACAACGATAACGAAACACAAAATACCCCATAGAAGAATCAAGAAATGGTTATGTGTTACGTAGATCAATTCAATTAGTCAACAGTTAAATGTACTAGGTCTCTTTCATGTCACAAAATTGCCAGGGCAAGCGTACAATATTTAATAAATTAAAAAAAAATATATAACTAATTTCATAAGTGGCAGTAGTAATCATCACCAGGTGCGCCCTTAATAAAACAAAAAAACAGGATTGTACGCACTACTCACAAACACTGTCCACAATATACAAATATATGTATGTATATATGTGTGAATGAATGTGTGACAGGAAAAAAAGGGTAAACCCAAAAATAGCAAACAAATATTACAACAAATCCTAAATGATTGGATAATAGAGAATAAATGAATACGGATGAAGAAATTAAATTCATCAAAAAAAAAGAAATTTGTTTACACTTTATTATTATTATTATTGTTTTTCCTCCACTCCCTGATTGATCCATTGGCAGATGGTAGGCGTAAGTAAACTAACGCAACACAATACAACAAAACACAACGCAAACAGAAAGAAAGAGAGAGTGATAAAACAGAGAAGTTCAAAGATTTTTTTTAAAAAAAAAAGAAAAAGAGGAGGCAAACAGAAGAAAAATAGTTTAGAAGGCAAGAAAAAAACAATGACATACATATTGCAATGTAACAGATTAATTATCATCAATCATCACTGGCATTATTATTAGTATTAGTATTAGTATTATCACTACTAACTATTTGTTCATGATTAACTTGTCCATTTAATTCTTTGTGTATATCACCATTGGATAGAAGAATGTAACCACTGTTATCATTTGTGGATGACAACTCATGTTGAGGAATGCAATCAGGAACTTTAGATGATATTACATCATATGAATTGGTTATATGTTCCGATTTGTTAACATCTTCATGAGTTTCAAGTAGATCATTTTTTGAATGATTATTCAAACAACAATTGGTTTCTCCATTAGTATAATGATCCACATTATGATGTTGATGTTGATGATTGGTGACATTTTCTGTAGTTTCTGTGTAATTGTTATTAATTGAGCTCTGGACAAACAAAAAATAATTATAAAATATCAATAGACGAACAGAAATGGATACTTAGAAGACGAACCTCTGTTCAAATAGCTTAAAAGGAACACGTTTTATCACAAAACTGTGACGTATATTCAAATGCTTTGGTAGGATCAATAGTTAGGGGTTTTCTCCGCATTGCTTGTTCTCTGTTTACATTTGTTTTCAATTCACTATACGACTCATCTGTGATGAACCATTTTTCCTCCTAAAATAACTGACCGAAATTTCGCATACTTTCAATAAACTTAACTTTTAATACAGCTTTTCTAAAACTACGTGTGCTATTCAAACTGGCCTCCTTCAACATTCGCACACTAATGCAGACAGGTTTAGCTATGTCTTTGGAAAATCTGATTATTGATATCTACTGTATTTTAGGAGTATGTATTCAAAACTTTGGCTAAGTACTATATATTCGCTCTCCATATGTTGATTTTAAAAGCTTGTTCCACGTCATTGAACGGAGACGCTTTGGAATCTTTGTCCCATATGGCTGATGTTGGTGCTACGTTGATTGATAGCACTGGTAGGTCTGACCTTAGTCGATTACATACTAGCATAGTTGTGTACATGACCGTCGCTTCCTCTAGAGTACCTATCTGAACTATGATTAAGGTTTAATTTGAGTGAATCCTAACTAACACTTCAGTGATCAACAAACTCATCGTTCTGAACGAAATGGTGCTGCCGTTGCAACCAAATAATCATACCAAGTTCAAGACTAGTCACCTGTTCGCCGAAAAGTGTAAATGAGCATTAGATGCCTTTGTTTAACATGAAAATAGCGGATCACATGTCTTGTTACTGTATGAAACGTACTGCATTGCAGTACTATGTGCGTACAGGCTTTTTACAATACCTAAAGACAATTTGATTTGCTCTAGCGAATGACGAGTTTAACGATAAACATAGGTCAGAAAAATAGAGTAACGACAGTGAAACCTGGTGGTCAGACATTTCAATGGAATTGGTACCAAAGAATGTTATTAATGAGGTTCGTTAATGTACAATTTTTTTGAGTACATAGATGCTAACTCACAGTGTCACCATCTTGAACGTGTAGTATGACTGTCATCTGGGGGACTTCCCATCATGCTTTAACTTGCAGACCCTGAACTGATCGGCACAAGCAGACAGAGGTATTCAGTTTACAACATGAAACTGTGGTATGAAAGAAAAGAGTGTGGGGATGGAATTTTTTCGCTTAACAAGACTATTTTGGGGGTTTATAGGAGATGTGACTCAATGATTTGACATGCTTTCAAACATAATTTAGGTTAGAAGCAAATGGCAGCGCTGTGGTAAATTTTTCTACATTCTTCATGAAACTGATTTGTTTTCCTTACAATAATTCGATCTCATTTAATCGATCTTAATCATCAATTTGTTTTTGGATGATCGCACACTCCCCTACCCCATCCCTCCTACCCTGCACAAACCCACTTTCTTATTCGTATGATACATATTGATTTTGGTGCTCATTTGTATCAATATTTATATCGTACGTAGATAAACAAAATATATAAAGCAAACAAAAGTTCTAAAATTAATGAGATCTGTTAAATCGAATGTATGAATTAAAAAATTGACTAAAAATTTTCTAATAATAATAATGATAATTAATACAATGAATGAATTAATCTACCATGATCTCTTCTGAACAATTATTATTTGCATAATTATAATTTTGTTCATTTTGTGAATTAGTTTCATCTAATTTTGTTTGTAATTCCGCTGATAATGATTGTTTTTGTTTTAAGGCGGTGTTACGTTCCACTTCAATAAGATAACGTAATTTAGCAACTAAATGAATCAGTTCAGATTTGGACATGTTTTGTTCATCAGTATCATCGGTTGTTGTTGTTGTTGTTGCTGTCGCCGTTGTTGATAGCGGTGATAATGATGATGATGACGGTGAAGGTGAAATGGATGACGATTTGTTCATTTTCTTTTCTGTACTAAACGATGCTGCTAGAGAATTATCAATGGAAGTTTCATCTGAATTGCAATTATTAGATGGACTGTTTTTACGAAGCTAAGAATGCAAAACAGGAATAAGAAAAAACGTGATATATACTACCAGTAACTATCTGATATGCTTGAATGCTATTACGAGTTCACCTTACTCGGTAAACCACAGCAAAGACAAATGATCCAGTGACATGATAGGCTACTCTAATCCGATTGTTCCCGGTCCTGCCAACTATTGGAAGAAGCCTTGATATGGCGTAGAAAAAGTATTCTACAAGCACCGAGAAAATATGAGATCGGTAAGCACACAAATCCAGTTTATTTATACACATGATAGAAACGTCCTTGGGAGAGCCACGAAAATAGTGTGCTAAAACAATACATCAACTAGTCAAGGTCAACTGATCAGCCAATGAGCGAAAGCATAAAATCCGAAATTAGAACCCCTTATCGAGTAAGTTCTGAGGATCTAACGTCCTCAGTAAATTTTAAACGGAAATCTTCTGATTTTAGTAATCACCAACAAAAAGTTTGCGTTTCAAAGCATCATTTAATTTTTAGACAGTTGGACAAAACATTTATTCAATAGTTTATTTAACAACTTGAATTTTTTGAATACTCTAAGATAACAGCTATGCCACTGGGAATAAAGACAAGGGTGATGAATTCCTCTACAATTATTCAGAGCGACAAACTCAAGTGCGTTTTTGTTGTGGACAATATATACTGGAGGTCGCAAGATTTTGAAATCCATAATTTAGAACAAAAACTCCATGTGATACAGTGATCTGTCAACACAGGAGGAGAATATATCTTGAGATTTATAGGGATGGCTAAACAAATCAAGATGAGTAATTGTACAAAACCGTCTTCCGTGACAGACATTCAACACTTCAACATCCAGTGTCACTGCCCGAAAAGTTACAATAATAATCAAAGTATTGAAAGTAACTTTCAAAGAGAATAATAACTAGTTGTAATTGGATACGTTTAGATATTTCAGTAAGACAGGATTTGGCAGAGGACTGAGAACCAATTGTTTGTGATAGTTAAATACCTCAATTGTATAAAGTGAATGGTGAATTAAAAAATTTTTTAAGTGCTACAAAGACTATTATATTCAGAAAATAATGATTGTTGTTGGGAAAAATAGCAATCAATTTCCACAGTTAAAAAAAAACACTAACCTCTTCAATAGTCATTGTCAGATTATTGCGATCTTGTATTAATTCATTCAAAGCTGCTTCAAGTTTAATTGATTTTGTTTTTAACTGGAATAGAGAACAAACTAATAGTTAATTAATTAATTAACATAAGTATGGACAAAGTCATACAAGTTAAATTCATACAACTGTGTAACATTCACAATTAGTGTTTAATGTCCATTTATAGACTGTACCATCTTTGCACAATACATGAGTGATAGAATTGAAATAAGACGGAAAAACTTCTAAGATATTTTGAAAGTTTTTTCAATAACGTTCACTTGTAAAACATCTACACAATGACAATAACTAACCGATAGGATTACCGTGTCAGAGTTTACTGACTTCATGGATTTCCGCCATGTTTTGGTTTGGCCGCCCCTAGACCAAAACATGGCGGAACTCGATGAAGTCAATGACAAGTGGACTGAGCCATGTAGCGAGTTGTCGACTACCTGGTTGGGGTCCGCGAGATAATAATAATCGATGGTTAGAGACCTTGAATGACATGGCTCAAAATCGTTCGCAATGGCGCCGGTGCATTTATACTTTGTGTTCTCTCAAATCCTAATCTTCTGCATTCTTCAACACCTCTAGTTTTGACTTTCTAAACTTTTCTCACTGAATCATATTTCTTGAATATCTTCTCATCCTAACCTCTCCGATTACTTCTAATACCTTTACTACCTCTTCTACTATTGGATTTGAATTGACAATTATATCTCTGTGCTGATGTGGTATGGCAACATGAACTGATGTACTTACGTACGAGGTTCTACGTTGCATCTGACTGACTGATATAATTTTTAACTTGAATGGGATTGTAATATAACGCGATGATCAAATAAAAGAGAGCACTGATGACGGCTATTTCACCTACAATATGTTTGGTTAAGCGCGTTTGAAGTGAGGCATGCAAGTCGTGAGGTTGATAACTACTGGAGTTGTGATACACAATACAAAGGATTCTCAAACTAGAAGGCAACACATACTTAGTATTGTCCGATTTATAAATTATACCTAAACAAAAGATCAATGTGTGACAAATATAGTCAACGAGTCTCTGTGAAATGCCTTTAAACCAATTAGTTATACGGATTAATAAAATGATACATTATTTCGAGGCATACAAAAAATACTTTGAAAATGAAACAATTGCATGACTTCTTTGATCTTTGATCGAATAATCAAATCTAACACATTTTTTAATATGAACTAAAACAATTAGAAGTAAAGGTTAACTCAATTATACACAACTAAAGTATCCACTTGAGAGAAAAAAAAACAATATTCCTTTATAGTGTAGCATGTCATAGTTGTGTTTGAAAAAAAAAATACGAACAAAGTATACACACAATCACCATTCAACTATTGATCTTAATTCCACTACAATTAGTTCGATTTAGGTAACTGGAAAGCATCATTAAACCGTCGAAAAACTCTGTACACATTTGTATCCTTGGCGTCGAAACCACCCTCTAAGTGTCAGGGCTAGCAAATTAGTGCCAGAAAATCAAGCACCTTAACTACTGAACCATCAACTCTGTCTTCATACTAACAGTCTAACTAAAAGCTGAATATAAGTTTTTTTTTATATAGTTGATGAGTGAATCTTCTTAGTTAAGTATATAATCAGCTTAATATAATATTACACATCAGTAAAAGCAAGAACAGCAATCAATAGATCGATCAGATGCAAAGATTTTAAAACTGTGATTAACAAAAATACTACTGACATAAAAAAAAAAACAAAGAGAACTATTTCTTATAAACAGATATACTATTGTACAATTTTTTTGAAACATGACAGCTAGCTACATGACAGAAAAAAAACACAAGCTCATTATTACAAAATGATTCATTGACTTTACCAGTTCATTTTCAATGGTTGCAGCATCCAATGCTTTATGCCAACGTGCTTCTTCTTCATCCACAGAAGTTTGTAATTTAGACAACATTAATTCTGTGGCATCTAATGCTGACTTATAATGATCAACTTGAGTTTGTAATAATTTATATTCATCGGATTGAACAATGAATTGATCGGATTGCGTTTGATCTGTACGATCATTCATTTTAGGCATAGTTTCTTCATGATCCGGATTGGTTGATTTGGTATCATTAATTTGGGAAGAATCATTACTGAAATCGATTGACAAAAAAATGTAATCAGAAACATTATTAGGATAACAAAAGAAAATTATGATGGGAAATGAAAGAAATTAGCTTCCACCTTAGAATAACAGTTATCGACAAGAGAGATAGCAATAGGTTACCGATATCCATGATAAGTTACATCGATTAGAGTTGGCATATTTATAAATAGAACAGTTGATTTTTATATTCAATGTTTAAAAAGAGACATTCAGACTGGCTACAAGAACCATGTTAAGTAATTTTATGGCCCGGATGAATAAGTGAGAAAACATCATGTTTAAGAAGACTATATACTATACTACAAATGATACTGAAATTCAGATTGTTGAAAACAAAGAATTATTCTTTTAGAAACTCATAACTTATTGCATGATGAAATATATAATTGGCAATGATTATTGACTTTTAGAAGTCTTCAACAGAGTATTTTTAAACAGAATGAAGGACTTCGTAGACGCCCAACTTCGAGATCAACAGGCCGGATTTCGTAAGGATCGATCATGTACTGACCAAATTGCTACATTACGGATCATTGTGGAACAATCAATTGAATGGAACTCACCACTCTGCATCAACTTCATCGACTACGAGAAAGCATTCGATAGCGTGGATAGGAAAACACTGTGGAGGCTTCTTCGACACTACGGTGTGCCTGAGAAAATAGTCAACATCATACGGAATTCTTATGATGGATTCAACTGCAAAATCGTGCATGGAGGACAGCTGACAGACTCTTTTGTGGTGAAGACCTGTATCTAGCAAGGCTGCTTACTCTCAACCTTTCTCTTTCACCTAGTGATCGACTGGATTATGAAGACGTCGACATCTGGAGGGAAGCATGGTATCCAATGGACAGTTAGGACGCAGCTGGACGATCTGGACTTCGCGGATGACCTGGCTCTTCTATCGCACACTCAACAACAAATGCAAGAGAAGACGACCAGTGTAGCAGCAGCTTCTGCAGCAGTAGGTCTCAACAAAAATAAAGGAAAAAGCAAAATTCTCCGATGCAACACAACATGCACCAACCAAATCACGCTTGATGGAGATGCTTTCGAGGACGTTAACAACTTTACATATCTGGGCAGCATCATCGACGAGAAAGGTGGATCGGACGCAGATGTGAGGGCACGGATTGGCAAAGCAAGGGCTGCATTTCTACAGTTGAAAATTA